CTCGCAGAAATATGCCTAATAAACATTTTGAAGGTCTTAATGGGTCGGTAAATTGTAGTGAAGTCATATTGGATCAATATCTGTCGTTGTTGGCGCCTTTTTTTTTTTTTTCCGGTTGGTTGGATCATTTTCTATTGCTAATTTACGGTGTCTCTGTACGTGTAGTGTGAACTTCACAAAGAATCAGGCGTAGCAGAACTTATTTCAGCCATGGCAGCCGGGTGGAAAGCAAAGCTAATAGTAGAAACATGGTCGCGGGGTGGGGCAATTGTGACGAGTGTCGGTCTCGCTGTTGCAAGCCGCCACGGTGGCGGTAGGCATATTTGCATAGTCCCTGATGAAGAATCAAGGGTGGAGTACGTTGCAGCCATGGAAAAGTCCAACATATCGTCCCAAGTCGTCGTTGGCAAGGCCGAGGAGGTGGTGGAAAGTTTAGAGGGCATTGATTTCTTGGTGGTGGATAGCCGGCGGAACGAATTTGCGAGAATCCTCCGGGTGGCGAAACTTGGCCAAAGGGGTGCTGTGCTGATATGCAAGAATGCGAATTCAAGAGCAGCATCGGATTTTAGGTGGCGAAGTGTAGTTGATGGTGAGTCGAGGATTGTGCGGTCCATGTTTCTGCCGGTGGGGAAGGGGTTGGATATTGCACATGTCGGGGCTAGAGGAGGAGGCACGGCCTCCGGGAAGGGTGAGAGACGGTGGATCAAACGCATTGATCGGCAGTCGGGTGAAGAGTTCGTCATCCGAAAGTGAATTCTGAAGAGAGCGAGATGGGATGTGTCATCTGTCATGTACTTAGTTACAACATTTTTTTGTTCTTTTTCTTTAGTTTGGTTTTCTGTAGAGTTTTGAGAAAATGTGAAAGAACATGTAGATTAAGCAAATAATTAAGCTACTCGTATAAATTTATTTTGATAGAAAGTTTGACAAACGCTGAGGTTCATGCACCTCAGTTGTATGAGACTTTCGGCTAAATTGTAATGTTTTAAATGATTTGACAATTTTGCTATCCAATGTGAAAACAATATACATTTTATCATATCAACAGTTACGATTTTTTATTCATGTAAGAACTAAGATTTTAGATTTAACTGAGTTGAAGACTCAAAACTTACTCTCAAATGTTTAATATCCGTAACCATCAGTTTTATTCAATTAAAAAATTAATAAAAGAATTTAATTTTAACATCATCTTTAACGAGATATCAAAATCAACTAAAAATTAATTTTTAATTAAACAAAACATGGGCTCAATGCTGAAAACAATGTCCTATTTCCCCTTATTTTAATCAGCCTAATCTTGGACTCAAGTGTCAATCGATTTAAATTGTCGCCACGTCATGAAAGGGTCATTGTCACAAATCACGTCCCCCGGGTTCAGATGGGCAACCCCTTTTACATCTCTTCGATGAATCTTAGTGATTCCTTTGTTAAATCACACTTACTACGTGCTAATCCGTGCATCAACACCACTCAGCATGCAACAGATTAGTTAAAAATGGAGTAGAAGAGAACTTCATAATTGCATTGGTAATGTAATTTTATAGTATACTCCATGACGTTGGGGAGAGAGAGAGAGAGAGACGCCGACACCTGCTTAAAAAGTAATGCATAATTGGATTTTTTTTTTTAAAGACCCTCAGGACAGTGTAACTCAGGGCACCCATAGAGGTTAAGGTAAAAACGAGTCACCAGTAGTACATATGACAACCACAACCTCGTATACATACAATGTCAATGGCACAAATCAATAACTACAAAACATGTGTAAGGCTGCTTCTTCCCTGAAATATATCAGGGCGCTTAAAATGCAAATAGAAGGGAATTGAGAGATCAACAGGCATGCATCACATTTCAAGAACTCTGAAGAAAACCATCATCTTGAGTATCCTAACGCCTCATAGTTGGATCTACACCATTGGCACCAGGAACTCCTGATCTACCCCGTGATGAACCAATCCTTCCCGATTGTTGTGAACGAGGAGGACCCAACCCATGTCTCATGTTTGGATTTGTGCTCCCTGTGTTGTTTGAGCTTTGAGTTGAAGGAAGCGCCAAACCTCCCCTGTTTGGCCCATGCTGACCACTGCTTCCAGATCCTAAGGATTTCACAGAAACTAAAAGGTTACTTTGGTTCATAAGTAATAAAAAAGAGCATTTTTATATCATTGCATTTCGAGCCAAGTAAATTAGTTTGCAAACAATTGAGCAAAATAAAGCAAGGATCAACCACACCAAATAAAGATATGGTGTTAACTATCTTATCCTCTCTACGTATATTTAAAACCAAGCAGTTACCAATGATAGACAGATCTAAGGATGCTCTGTGAAAGTAAATAAATCTTGTTTGGCAAGAATTTAATTTATAATCACTTTTAGTCAAACCACTTTTTATCCACAAATTTCGTGGAACCCACAAGTACTATTCACTTCCACCACTCATTTCTATCTATTTATGATTTAAACCGATTATAAACACTTCCCAAACATGCCCTTAATAACAAAAATAAGTGATTAGATACAAAAAGGGAGAGGTTTAATTAGGATATATTTCACTAGAATCCAAGTGGATAAAAAATTAATATTTGACATCTTATTATATCCTGTTGGCCAAGAGAGAGAGAATTAGAAAACACATTCCATACAGTGCTAATAGTTTATATTGAAGAAAAACTGTTACTTAGATATCCAAATGTTATCTGGTGAAAGTAAATATAATACCAAGGTCATGTAATTATAACCCAAAAGAAGAGTTTTTTAATTAAATTAGGATAAATTTCACTATAATAAAGTATATGAAAATATCTACATTCTGATGTCCTATCAATGACCCTCATGTCACGATTTCAATACACATGCAATTCTCTTTCCTTTTGCTTATTATTTTATCTACTGATTAAGCCCTTGTTTGAGCCCCATTTTTAATTAAAAAATGGATTTTGTAATAGTTATTTTTTAGAGAATGTATGGTTAAAAAGGAAGGAAATTTTTTTTTAGGTTTACGTGCAAATTACTTTATTGAAAGAACGTGTGATTAAAAAGGAGTTTTGAGGAAAAGTGGGGTTCAAATAGGGGCTAATTAAAATACGGATTTATTTATTTTTCATCAGGATTTCACAATATTCATCTTTCAGTACCAGAAACCAAATGAAAAGAATTTAATTAAGAACGGACCAACCAATTTTCCACGGAGAGAGTGTCAACAAAATAATGATGAAATATCATAACACTGGTAACAAACCCACCCCTTAAAACAACATATCCAATCGTCGAGAAGGTAGAGATTGCTTACCCGTAACACCTTGTATATTGAATCCTTCGCTCCAGCCAGGATGTTGTCTAGCTTTTCCTTTCCAGGCTTCCTCAAAACCAACAAGTTCATCTAAAAGAGGGAAAAAATTACTTGACAGTGAACTGACAGTTAACACAAAAAAATCACATAATAGTAATACGTACCTTCATTAATATTATGAAGGGTTTGCATTGTGTCAACCCTACCATCTGAGTTCAGTTTTCGTGCCACAGAATGACCCTACAACAGCAAAATTAACATATTTACCTCAAGCATTGTAGGTGAAATATATATAAATTAATAAATCAGATTCGTATGTGGAAGAATGAGACATGATGAATATCAAAGGACCAGAGATGACACCTTCTCATGGATCCCCCTTGACAGAATATGAGATGCTCGACCCGTAGATGAATTAGCTTCTTTACGTTCTTCCATTGTTAACTGTAGATCACCAAATATATATAAATAGATAGATAGATAGATAGATAGATAGATAGAGCAGAATTAAACAAGCAAGCCCAAAAGAAAATTTAAGAAGAAAATCGCTTCAACTTGAGTTTCACTTACTCCATCACTACCCGTCCTCCTTGTTCCAGATGAAGAGTGATATGCACCATTTGCACCACCATAAGTAACAGAGGAGCTTTGGAAAGTGAAGCTGCTTGTTTGGGGCCGCAGCCTTACATTTTGCATCTGGTTAAGATCATTTCTGGAAGCCATTTGCTTACTTTTTTTCTCTGAAATGACAATACATCGACCCATGTCAATCTAAGACTCCAAACATCAATGTTATGTGGAAACCAAATCCCCTCAAACTAAATAAAAACAAAAAACAAAACTCACCAGAAGCTTCATCATCAGGATCCTCAACGAAAGGCTCATTGCTAGACCTCTCATGCTTCCTTGGATTATTATTCTTGTTCTTTCCACTTTCGTTTCCTTCATTTTCATCATCAGAATTCAACTCTTCAATAATTGGCCCGTTAGATCTATTGGGTTGTGGGGGCTGTTGTTCAAGAAATCCAGGAGCACGCGGATCCATAAATGGACGGTCAGTGGAACCAAATAAGCTTGACTCAAACATGTTGTCAATTGGGCGTGTGAAGAAGGGATCATCAAATGGGTCTTTCCCACCAAAAAAGCTAGGCGTTAGGCTTCTTTGACCTCCAAAGCCACCAAAACTACCAAAAGGGTTACCAAAACCAAAGAAAGGATCCCTGCCTCCTTCCATTTTCTACTGCTAATTGCCTGAAAATTAAAACGACAACTTACAAATATCAAAGAACAACTCTAGAAAAACCTGTAGCAATTAGGAAAATGTCAGCTATTACAACAACAATTTCATCTTAACACACACTTTCCGCTTTGCTTTATACAATATCCCATGTGCAAGTCTAGCTTTACCCATAAATAGAAACAAGGAAGATTCTGTTTTACCAATTTAATAGTCAGAAAAAAAAAAGGAAAAACAGTGAAACTCCAAAAAAAAAATTTGGATTTTGAGGAACCATTATAAGNCCATCACTACCCGTCCTCCTTGTTCTAGATGAAGAGTGATATGCACCATTTGCACCACCATAAGTAACAGAGGAGCTTTGGAAAGTGAAGGTGCTTGTTTGGGGCCGCAGCCTTACATTTTGCATCTGGTTAAAATCATTTCTGGAAGCCATTTGCTTACTTTTTTTCTCTGAAATGACAATACATCGACCCATGTCAATCGAAGACTCCAAACGTCAATGTTATGCGGAAACCAAATCCCCTCAAGCTAAATAAAAACAAAACTCACCAGAAGCTTCATCATCAGGATCCTCAACGAAAGGCTCATTGCTAGACCTCTCATGCTTTCTTGGATTATTATTCTTGTTCTTTTCACTTTCGTTTCCTTCATTTTCATCATCAGAGTTCAACTCTTCAATAATTGGTCCGTTAGATCTATTGGGTTGTGGGGGCTGATGCTCAAGAAATCCAGGAGCACGTGGAT